ATAATATAATCTCTCTCTCTCTCTCTCTCTCTCTCTCTCTCTCTCTCTCTCTCTCTCTCTCTCTCTCTCTCTCTCTCTCTTGTATTCTCGGTTTCCAACAGTTTATTCACATTTGGGATGTTTTTCACCCAAAATAAAAAATACTGATGTATTTTAAGAAAATAAAAATAAGAAACTTAAGATTTTTTTTTAATAATAATAAATTCACTTTATTTTTTCATATACAGTATATTAATGCTCATATTTTTCAAAAATATATATATATATATATATATATAGAGAGAGAGAGAGAGAAAGAGAGAGAGAGAGAGAGAGAGAGAGAGAGAGAGAGAGAGTATATATGAAAGTATAATACTAAACATTTAATATATTGATATAAAACAATATAATTTACAATTTAATGTCAAAACAATTTATCAAATAATAGTAATGATTGTTAGGTTTATCTATGTGTGTATGTCTATGTGTTTGGATTTTATTATTTTTTTATTTTCAAAACAAAACAAAACTAAAATATATGAAAATATATTTGATTTTGAAAACAATATTTGAAAATAAATGCCATTTAAGCAGACTTTCACTTGAATTTTATCAATAAATAAAATTTTTGTTTTATTTCTTTCTTTTTGTACTTTTTTGAACTTTTTTTTTGAACTTATTTGTTATTTTTATGTATTTTTTTATAACAAACAGAGTGAAAGAGATTTTTAATATTTATTATTTTTTCCCATAATATTAATATTGTTATATTGGTGTTAGATTTTAGTAAAAATTTTCTATAAATGACTTATAATAAGTAATAAAGTTATTAATTTTTTTATTTTTTAAAAAATAACTTTATATTTTATCAAACATTATACAGATTTTATTAGAAAAATTAATTTGAAAGTATATGAAATATTTTTATTTTGTGATAAAATATAATAGACTTATTATTTAAAAATTTTATTTTATAGACTTATTTATATCAGTATATTTTGTTTGTGAGTTTTATAAAAAACTATATTATATAATGTCTTATTTTAAATATTTAAAATACGAAAATCAATAAAAAAAAACTTTAATACATATATACACACAGTATATCTATATTTGAAAAAATAAATATTTGTTTAATAAAATAAGATATTCTTATTTTATGTAAAAAATTATTTTTAAAATTTAAGTAAAGATAATACGGTATAGAATATGTTTATTATTATTATTATTAAAATAAGACTTATTTTTTTACTGAATAATCATAATATTACACTAAAAGTAATATAAAGTATAAAAATTTTGCTGTTTTTGTAGAGATATAAAAATATTTTTGATATATAAATATGTATACAAAAAAACTGAGACAAATTATAATATTCATTAGTCTATAATATTTCTATTAATAATATAGTCTAATATAGTATAATAATAATAAGTATTTAGGTTTATATTTTAATATAAGTAGAGTATAACTAACAATTTTACATTTATTTTTCTTAAATATAAATTTAATGATAGTTTATAATTTTGTTTATAACTCTATAGTCGTAACTAAATAAATACAAAAATCAATTGATTAAAAAAGTAAATTATCATAAAAAATCTACTAATATATGTACAGTAATAATGATTAACTAGATATTAGCATAAAATTAAATTATTATCAATATTACATAGTGGTATTATTGTTATTTTTTTGTTGCTATCAATTAAGCATGGTTGAAAAAAATACAATATATTATAATAATATATTATAAATATCAATAATATACAATGTGTTACACAATTTAAGCGATAAATTATAATTACTATATGCATGACATTGAAATATAAATATATATACAGTATTTATATACATATACAACAAGCTATTGTTTAGTTTAATACATGTTTTTAAAAAAAAATAATAATATATAAAAAGTTCAATGACCACTTAACATGAAAATGATTTTAAATTTTAACATGGTCATGGCAAATTAGAAACTGCAGTATATTATTTACTCTATATTATCTAGGTAATTTTATATTATGATACTTTATTTTTAAAAAAATTAATTAAAAAAAATTAATACTATTTATAACTCACTCATACATATTTATTACACATTTGAAATTAAATGATAATTTTTTTTAATTATAACAAACATAGCATTTACTTTAGCATTATTTTATAACCTAAATACCTGTATATAATCAATAAATTCAACTTATATATATACCATATGTTTATTAGGATTATAGATATTATTATATAGTTTAAATATATTTTAATTACAAACTACTTACTAATACTAAGCCATTAAGTGAAAAAAATATATGGAGTATTAAAAGGCAATTATAATTAAATATATGTAAATTATTTTCATATATCATTACACACTGTATATTATATTTATTTATACAAAATGAAAGTGATATTTACGCTTGAAATATGAATAATTATTTTTTTTAAATTAACTAAAATCTTAGCTAAAAAAACATAGCATTTGTAGTAATGTTGAAAAAACAAATAATTTTGAGACTAATTTATATACTATATCTATTAAAAGTTTTTTTTTGTTTTTATATAAATATAATAATAGTAATAATAATACATTAGTATAATACCGGTATAATACTAATATTAAAGTTAATGCTCATATAATAGCATAAAATTTAGCTATGATTTATATGTTTGTACAATATATAATTTATATATAGTGTATATATATATATGTTAGTGTTAAGTTTTTTTGGGTGTTAAATGAAACTTTTCAAAAAAAATTAAAAACAACAAACATATTGTTAATTATAAGTTGTTTTTTTAGTTTAAATATTTAAAATATCTAAAGTAAATGATATTACAACAACAACAGCAACAACAATAGGGATATTATACCAAATGATTTTATGGGCTAATAAAAAACAAATTGTTAAATAATAGACTCAATATACATATATAGATAGATAATTCATATAAATTATTTATGGCATCTATTATTATTATTCTTAATATTATTTATTACTATATTTTATAATCTATATTATTATGTTATACAATATATATATCGTATATGTATATAGATATAGTATGTATACAGTGATGTGTTATGCAATTATTTATGCATGACTGGTCAATAACTCACCATGTTTATTATTATTATTATTATATATATATTTGTTATGCTACTACTTTATAAGGTGTGTGTGTATATATATATAGCTTAATAAATCCCGTTCCCAATTACTGGACTTGACATTTGTCTCAATCACCCAAAAAGTTAGCAGCCATTCAATCAAATTGACTTTAATTGGCTCTCTCTCTCTCTCTCTCTCTCTCTGATATATAGTCTAACGCCAGCCCTATATATGTTATGTCATTATTTGATTAAATCAATCGTTGATTTGTTGATGAAGTTTATTAATGACTCCAAATACCAGTAGTAGTGAACTATTGTATGTTTTCATACCCATACCATATGTTAGTGTGTGTGTATAGTACAGTACAATGATGTATAGATATTACTACTAGTGAGGAAAGGTATTATTATTATTATTATTCTCATCATCACTAAAATAGCCAATAGAGTAGTAAAAATACAATAGTAGAGTATATATATATATATATATATATATATATTATATATTGTTTTTTTAGTGAGTAATAATTTTTTTCACTCATTACTGGCACTTCATTGTAAATCAATAGTAAAGTTTTGTTAAGAGAGAGAGAGAGAGAGAGAGAGAGAGAGACGGTAAAAAACTTTCAGTTATTTTTTAATACTATCTTTTTTTTATATACAATATATACTAATAGAGATTGAGTCTTATAACTTATATTATAGTATATATAAGGGAAGGTTAGCTTACAATAAAAGGTTAGACAAAAGTTTTTCATTTCAATGTCTTGTGAGATGAGAAGAAAGAGAGAGAGAAAGAGAGAGAGAAAGAGAGAGAGAGAGAGAGAGAGAGAGAGAGATGGCTTGAGAGGTGTATCTCTTTTAAAGCCTAATATAATACTTATAATACCTATTTTGGTGTCCAATCTTCTATCAATACAATAATACTATTAGTTTTATTGCATTTAGTAGTCAACTATTGTATAGTAATTTCTATATTACTGTACAATATATATATACAATACTCTCTGATATTTAGATTAATGTATTTTTTCTTATTTGTATTATACAAATTGTATTATACAGTATACCACAAAAAATTTAATACAAAGATATATATATATATTATTTTTAAGTTCATGATATAAAACTATTACCATTTATTTATTTATTAATATTATTCATGAAATATCAGTTGATATTTGTGTGTAATATTGAATATTATTTTCCATATATGTATTCATTGCATGTATTAAAAGCAAATTATATTATTTAATTATAGATATCTCTCTTAAATAGTTTTGCATATTTGCATAAAACATTAAATATTATTATAAGTAAAAATATTTTTATTAATAACTAAAATTGTATTTAAATATTTATATTTAACCCAAATATAAATTTCATACAACATTGATATGTAAACTATTTAATTAAATTATATTAAATAATACATACAATCCATAGCAGTTGTTATTTGATATATGAACCTAAAAATATTTTTATTACAACAATTTTTTTTTTTAGTTTTACAACAAAACTTTATGAATATTTTATTAATTATTAATAATTTTAAATATTTATATTTATTTATTATTCAATGCTTCCGGCAATCTATGTATTAATATAATTTATAGCTATATTTGGCAACTTTTAAAAAACCATATTAATAGTAATAAATTAATATTAAATAATAATAATAATAATAATGAAAACAAATTATTTATTTATTCATATTTAACACTAATAAATAAGATTTTTGTAAAAATTTATTTATATAATATTTATGATAGATATTTAAGTATTAGTTAAACACACAATTAAAACGGAAATCTGTAATATTTATTATTATTTAAATAAAAATCATTATAATTTAATATGAAATTAATAATCAATTTATTTTTTGTTTGGATTATATTTTAGGTGATTATCAGCTAAAGAAATAATAAAAAAAAGTTTTTTATTATTAAAAATGAATACAACGACCACAACAACAACAACAACAACAACATCAACAACCATAACCAGGGATACTGTCAGTGGTTTTACACTACGAGAGGAGCAATGGGTGGCACCAGTGATGGCACTGTCCTGTCTTAATATGATTGTTATTGCATTGTTCGAGATATTTGTTATCTATAAGGCATGCAGGTATGTATCAAATATATATATATATATATATATAATTATTAATTTTTAAGCACCGGTATCCACCATACCTTGTATGTGTGTGTGTGCATATAATTAGAAAGCCATACACACAAAATAACAATGACATACCCGTGTGTATGTACAGTATGTATTTAATCTGACTTCCCTATCCTTTACATTGAGTAGTGTGTGTGTATGTGTGTGTGTGTGTGTGTGTGTGTGTGTGTGTGTGTGTGTGTGTGTGTGTGTGTGTGTCTAGTGTTTTACCCACACATTGAGGAAATTTAAAAAAAAAAAGTTATTGTTGTATTTGTTAAACTATATGATAGATAATTAGAAATTTGCTACACTGTTATAGAAAACAATTGTACTGTATATATATTATATGTTATGTAATCCTACTATGATGATGATGATGATGATGATGTTGGTTAGTTGCTCAGGTACGTTCATATTTGCTACCTGTTTCCCATGAACTCAGGTAGTGTGGGCATAGCTTATGTTAGACAACAACAACAACAAAAATTATAAATTTAGAAAAAATACTTTTTCCTGTACAACATTTTCAAAAATTTTTGATAGATATTACCGGTATATACTGTATATATATATAGATATTATACTAAATTTATATTATATATAAAAAATATTAGGGGGGGGGAAAGTAATATAAACTTATGATATCATACGGTATAATAAACAATATATAAAAAACATTTTTAATCAAAAGGTTAAAATCTACAGGTATTGTATTGTTTATAATATACAGTACAGTACAGTACAGTATATTATATTTTGTTTGTTATGTGTTTCTACTTTTAATTTTTTTTAACTCTCTTTAAAACTCCAGTCGAGATCCAAATCTGGTATGAATTTAAATTGTAATAAAAAAATTATTGTATGAATGATGAAAACAAAAAATTATATATATATATATAGTTAAAATTAAATACATATACATTATACTGTATATATATATATTATATATATATATTGTTTCTCTCTCTCATAGCGAGAGACTAATGATTAAAAAAAAGTTATTGTATTTTGTGTGACCGTAAACTCTCTCTCTCTCTCTCTCTTTCTCTCTCTCTCTTTCTCTCTCTCTCTCTCTCTCTCACTCACTCACTCACTCACTCTCATATAGTATCGTATAATGATAATTAATCTTTTAGTTATTTTTCAATTTTTATTATAATTATTTTCGTTTTTAAATTGGAGATAAACTTCCTAACAATAAATAGCTTCGTTATCATTATATATATATATATATTAGAAAAAGTTTGATAAATAACAAACCATAGCATAGCATACCAAACAATTGAAACAATAGTATAACTAATATATATCTATATTTGAAAAGAAACCCTTTTTATGTTATGTTTTTTTCTCTCTATAAACTGTTTAGTAAAAATGATTTATACTTTTTTTATTTTGTTTTTTTCTCTCTTTGATAAAAAAAATATTGCCATTGTTAGGCAAATGTTTGCTATTAATATAAAAATTAAATATAAAATAACCGAAAAAACAACAAAAATTGTTGATATTTTACCCAAACAAAAAAAACATTATATTATAACAATTTATAATATGATTGTGTGTGTGTGTGTGTGTGTGTGTGTGTGTGTGTGTGTGTGTGTGTGTGTGTGTGTGTGTGTGTGTGTGTGTGTGTAGAGTGAGATATAATCAACTAAATATATTCATTAATAGAAAAAAAAGTTTCAATACAATAGTTTCACAATTTTTTTATATATGAAATTTGCATAATAATAATAAAATAAATTTCAATTAATATCACATTAATAAAAAAAAATTAGTTTTTAAAATTTTTTTATGAAAAATAAAGATAAACAAAAATATTTTTTTTTTAGAAAAATTATTATACTAGGAAAATTATACATACATATAAAAATACCTGTCTAAATTATTAATACTATATATATATGACTAGAAAAAAACATTGACCGAAAAAGTTGCTTAATGTATAATAAATGTAAAATAAAATCTAATAAAAAAGCTATAAAACATTTTGTATGTCTAATTTGTTATTTAATACATGATATAATAGTTAATGAGATCTCAATGGAAACTAAATTATGCCTAAACTAAGTGACACTGAATTATAATACTGTTTTATACTGAATACAAAAGTTTTTTTATTGTTTACAATTTGTCTGGTAATGGAAAAGTCTATACCCAGACACACAAAAAATTAGATATAGAGTACAACACACAAGCAATATATATACATAAAATTATATACAAAATAAAATCAGATTAGAGAAAGAGAGAGAAAGAGAGAGAGAGAGAGAGAGAGAGAGAGAGAGAGAGAGAGAGAGAGAGAGAGAGAGAGAGAGAGAGGATATGTAGAGAAAATAACTAACATTTTATCATTTGAATGAATAATTAAACACACATTTATTGGTATCGAGATAGCGATCTCCATATCCGTGTGTGTGTATGTGTGTGTAATACAGCACAGGTATGTACTATATTTATATACCGGTGCGCAATGTGAATCTCTCTCTCTCTCTCTCTCTCTCTCTCTCTCTCTCTCTCTCTCTCTCTCTCTCTCTATCACTAAAGGTGGCAAACTTGAAAGTAAATTCAACATTTATGATTATTTTGCGATATATTATACTAACAAATATTGCATTTTTATGTGTACAGTGTGTATATTATACATATATATACAGTATATATCGCTTATACATAAAAATAAATAAATAAAATTAAACAAAAATAAAACAGAAAAAATAAAAGGATAAAACTAACAACAAATAAGACTATTAGACAGTCAGTGCAATAACAACAACAAAAATGATAAAAAATTACATTTTCCTGTTTTATATTTATAATTTTAATAAAAACATATTTCACAGATTTTAAATAAAGAAATAAATAGTAAAAATAATATAATAATTTATTTACTTATATCTGATATCTTTGATAAAAAAATATATAAATAATTCAATATTAAATATACGAAAAAAGATTTTAAAAAATAAATATTAAAATAGTAACAAAAAAATACTAATAATAAATTATTAAACATTTGACATTTATTTCTATAAAAATTTAGATTTTACAAAAATAAAATATTATATTAAAACATAAATAAACAAAATTTTCTTACTAAAAAATTATTTTAATTTAAAACAATTTACATATTTATATTGATTTGATTTATCAAAAAAAAAAATAAATAAAAAATATTTAACAAACAAACAAACAATTAAACAAACAATTTATTATTCAAAACATAATAAATAGTTTTTATTATTATTAACAATATATTATTATTATTATAAATAAAATTAATTATTAATAATTATTTTTTGTTTTGTTTTCTAACCGCACCGTTATTTTTTTCTCTCTGTCTATTAATTAGGACTTCCCCGTCCCGTCGCCATCTATTTCTGGGCCAAATGCTTTTGTTAGGACTGTTCCTATCATCGGCACTGGGCATTGCATTTGTGCCAAACCCTTCATGGATCTCCTGTACAGTAATCAGAGCCGGTCTCGGCATTTGCTACAGTGTCATATTTGCTACACTACTCGTCAAAACGGTGTTCCTCTTATCGCTACATTCGGGCATCTATTTGCCAGCCCTCTACCAGGCACTGTTATTATTTTTCATTATAGCCACCCAGTTAGCCATCGACAGTCAATGGCTACTCAATCATACCTCGACCACTGTTATCGACTACGTTGACGCCTTTGGCACAGTTGTCTACAAATGTGATCACAATATTAGTTCACTGCTCTTCTCATTAGTTTACGACATGTTTCTCATAGGTATGTACTGTCTGTATGTATGTGTGTGTGTGTCTGTGTGTGACATATAAATAATTTTATACAATAGTGATGTTGATGTACAGTACAATCTTTATATATATCCATAGCTGATTGAAACTACCAGTGCAAACACACGATCCAATACATACACAATATTTTGTTTAGTTTATTATTGTTTTTTATAGGATGTGCTGTTTATGCCTTTAACAATCCTATCCATTAGATTATACCGTATTTATAGACTGTTTATATATACAGTGATAGAGATAATTGGTTTTGTTTGTTAGATCTATTTGTTTGCTTTTCTTGCATTCAGAAAAAACACAAACACTTCCGAAACATATATATATATATATATATATATATATATATATATATATATATATATATATAATGTATATATATATTGTATTTATATTGAGTTTCACACTTAATATAATAGGAAACAATGCACTATATTCTAGCGGTTAAATAATAAATATATTACTCAATACTATGGCTTATGATAATAATAAAAATAAAAATAAGTCAATACTATATATATATATATATGTATTGATTGTTTTATGAGAAACAGAAAGAAAGTTAGTAATAGTGAGTGAGTGAGTGAATGAATGAATGAATGAATGAATGAGAGAGAGAGAGAGAGAGAGAGAGAGAATTATAACTTTTATTATTATTATTACTATATAAGTGTTTTAGTAGTTTAAGTCAATTTTTGGGCTCAATATTATTGATAACACTTAAGTTTTATGGATAGTAATCATAATAATAGCAATAATGATAAGTTTCAACACTAATGATAATAATAATGATGATTATTATTATTATCATATGTGTGTGTGTGTGTGTGTGTGTGGTTATTAGGATTTTTGATTTTAACCATTAATGATATCACATACATGAGTGTTAACCTTTATCATATCGGTTATCTATAAAAATAAATATATATATACTTTATATATATATATAAATTTATGTATAGATTCTACTAATTGATAGTAATAAAAAAATTCATTTAATAAAAATAAATTAAAAGTTAGATAAATTATTATAATAATAATATGGTATAGATAATTATAATTAATTTAGCTATGCTTTTTAATGTAATTAATTTAGGATACATATATAATAGTATAGCCTTTATAGTATAGTATGCAAACATATCTTAATATATAAAAATATTTAACAAAATAAAATCTACTGAATAATAATAATAATAATAATATTTTATCACTATATATATATATTTAATTAATTATACCATATTAGCCTTAATTTTAATAGCAACTAAAAAAAATAATAACACAAAACTAAACTAAAGCATTACAAAAACAAAATAAATTAAAACAATAAAAAACAATAACAGCAATATCCAGGATTTAAAATAGATATTTGCATAATATTTAATGTAACTATAATACCACTCCTACTACTAGTAGTACTAAATCTAGATATCATTATTACTATATATTATAATTAATTAAATAAAACATAACTATTAATATCATAAATACTGTGCAACAAAAAAACAAAACAAAAAAAAATGCTACATATTATCCACTATGTATAGTCATCATCATAAATGATATTAATGATGATGATAATAATAATTATGATAATAATAATAATAATAATCTAATATTAAAAACTTAGTGTTATTTTTTAATAAATATTATAATTTTTATTTATTTTTCTATAAAATACTTTAACTAAACAAATAGTCACGAAATGTTTGTATTAATTACCGGCAAAAAAATGAAAACGATAGCAATATATATATATTGTTTAACAGTTCATTAATTATTATTATTGTTATTTTTTATGTCTTTATTTTGTTTGACTAAACAATATTAAGAAACAAAACATAATTTTAAAAAAACAAAACATAAACAATACAAACAAAAAATATATAAAAATATTTTACAAACATTTAGAGACTCATTAAGCGTTCATTAAGAGAGAGAGAGTTTAAAGTCCGGCCGAAAATTAACCAAAAAAAAAATAAAACAAAAAAATATAATTTAATAATAATTAAAAGTTTCACTCTTATATATATAAATTTTATATATACTGTATATTATATATATGTATATAAGCCGTATCTAAAATAAACACTTAATTTTATATAAAAACTCTTTCTAACCGTCTTTATCTACCCGTCTCTCCCGCCCATCCCCTCCACAAAAAAAACTACTAGTGTTAGTGTCGTGCCTATCGTTGCGAGTCAAAGGTCATCGGGAAAATCACGGCGAAGGTATGTTCATAGCCATCACTGTAGTCACCAGTATTGTCTTGTGGTGCGTATGGATCGGCGGATCGTTGACCAGTGCCAGCCACTATCGGGACGCCTTTCTAGCGCTGGGCATTGTCGGCCAGGCCACACTGGTTTTTCTGGTCATGTTTCTGCCGAAAGGTCGCCAACTGGCCGCTATGGGTCGCGAAGGTATGTCACACGATGACAGAGACCAACTATCGTCACCGTCGTCGCCGAGTATCTATACGCCCAGCTTTCTGCACATTAAACCATCGCATTTGATACCATTGACCAAAACGGGTGGCAATCTATACAAACAGTTTGGCCAAACAAACAACAACAATACAAGCAGTTATCATACAAGTAATCATAATAATAATAATAATAATAGTGGTAATCCTAATCATCATAATAATGTCATTAATAATAATAATAATAATAATACCGGAGCCGTAAATGGCAATCTATATACACATCACTCGACCCAGAAGTCGATGAATAACGGTATGTCTGTACTAGTATTTTGTTATTTAATTTATTATTTAATTTTTTTTAATTGATTGCTTGCAATAATTAGTAGTAATATTGATATTTTCAAATATATATTAATTATAATTTATATGTATATAATAATTAATTGGTTTACCGCCAGTGCTAATTAAAATACTGTATATAATATATGCTGGTTTTTAAAAAACCAAAATTAACTATACTATATATTTATATCCTCAATATAAAAATTGTTGATATTAATTTTATATAAATATATTTATAATTTAAATGTATTTTTGTGTGTGGGAAACAGGAATTGAAATAATTTATATATATATATATAGTTTATTAGATATCTAATGTATTTATCATTATTTTTTTGTGCAAAATATTAATATACATTTGATTGATTTATATATATATATATATAATAAAAAAATACTTTAACTTTAACTACCTGTGCGCGCACGGTGCCAATTGTATTGTTTTTATATATACATGTGAAATATTAATACAGTAATAATGATTATATTAATAATTAAAAAACAATGTTATATAATGTATGAACTAAGAGATTATAAAATAAAATATTGTTTCAAAACTTTTCTTTCAATAAGTACTGTACTGTATATATATATAACTAAAAATAGATATAATATGATAATTAAAAATATCAGTAATATTCGTAATAATAATAATAATAAAAATTTATTTAACATTTAACAAAACTTATTTTACACAACAATCTAGTTTTTAATTTAATTTTTGTTATTTTCTATGGGCACTGAAAAAAACTATTATTACTGTCAATCATATTGTAAATACAATACTAATTTTAATATATAGATTTAATAGATTAATTACAAATCTATTGTGTATTAAAAAAAAATTACATTTGTAATGATTAAACACTTTATGGTTTGATAACTATTATTACAGTATTATTATTATTATGTTATAAAAATATAATTGACTTCATTTTAAGTTCACATAAATATTATCACATAATAATAGTTTCAATGTATTTGGCGCTACAATTTCCAATGGGATCTATTTGATTGATTGCATTATAAATTATTATTATTATTATTTTATTTGTTAATAACAACAATAATCAAAATGTATATATTTATTAAATTATTTGCTAACTTATGTACAAATTTTTAAAAATAAATTATAAAAAATATTTATTTTTATTAGTTGTCAACATATTGTTCAAAAATGTGTTGGCATTTATGGTACTGTATTTTTTAACACATTTTTTATATGATAATACAATATATAAGATAAGGATGTATTGTTGTTTTTAAAACAATTTATTTTAACAAATTTTTAATTTCAATTAATTTTCTAAACAAAAGGGTAACCTTTAAAGAAAAAAAAACAAGAAATATTACTAATTTTTTTGCTATTATATACAGTATATACGATATATTTTTTATGGAAACAAAAAAGTTATTTGTTTAATGATAAACACATTCATAACATGTATAGTATAGAGTATTATGTATATACTGTATATATTCAATACAAACTTTATATATATGTATGCCTTTCCCATATTTATAAAAATATTTCTCATATAATGTATATATCATATCATATATTAGATGAAAGTGTTTTTCCGCTTTTATAACAAAATAAATGATCTGTAAAACCGAAAATTTAATAGAAAAACATATATTAAAATATATGCTATAATTTCTAGCAAATGATTAATGATTTTTTATAAGACTCTCTCTCTCTCTCTCTCTCTCTCTCTCTCTCTCTCTGTATATCTTTTATTTCATATTAAATATTATCGGAAAAACCAATGGCTATGACATGAATTGATAATATGTTTTAGTTTTTGTTGATTGGATTTTCATATATTGTTTCATTCATTTATTTATTTGCCACTTGAATCTTACCGACAAAAAAAACAATATAATAATGTTAAACATAATAACTATTTTAAATATATATATATATATATTTGTATATAAAATACAGTCAAAACTTATTTATTTCACGATTTATATTTTGAAAAACTGATTTTATCTTTTTTTTTAAAAAAAAAATAGTGAATCTTTTAGTTAACATTAGCATTACTATTGTTTTTTGTACATTTATTTCTATAAAAAATGTTTATATCTTTAATAATATTATTATTATTATTATGAAAAGGTTTTAGACCTCAAGATAGCAAATAAATATATTGTATATAAAAGTGAATGAAATGAAACAGAAAAATATTTTTTTGTTTTGTTTTTGATTTAATGAATTACATAATAAATTAAAGTTTTTTGACTCCTTTTAACACACAAATGAATTAATGAAAAATATTTTTTTTCCACTATATTTAATAATAATAATAATAACAAAATAATATGCCGTAAAATAATCAAAATGCCATTAAAATATCTTTTATAATATAAAATGTCCAAAAATAATGATAAATTAAAAATATATATAATACTTTATATACATATAAAAAATTTTAATATTTATTAATAATAATGATAAAATGAAAATTCATTACCAATTATGTTCAAAGTTTTGTATATTATGTTTTTTTAAAAAAAAAACAAAAACAAAAATCATAGTTAATAAAGTGATTAACAAAATAATGTTATTATACTTTATTTGTAAACTTAAAAAAAAATGATAGACTATTAGTTTTTGTTTGTGTTTTCAAAATAAAATCGTGATTTTTGCGTTAATTATCAATTAATTTATAACACATTTTCGATTATAAACTCCTTATTTAATGCATAAATAATTTTATAATTTTTTGCGTTTGATTTGATATATATATAAATATACTGTATATATATATATAAAGTCATTGAATTTGATTATCAGTTCATATACCTTTCAAAAAATAAATAAATGATTATTTACAATATATTTTGAATTTATTTTATATGATATATAATTTTTCTATACATGAAGATAATTTTTTTCCTGCAATAATAATTAATTTTTATAGTTATTAATGTATGGAAAAAAAATTAATTTTTTTATTAAGGAAAAGTTTTTTTTTCACACAATTTTCTAATTACCACTTTTTTCCAGTAATTATTTTAAATCTAAACTAAATTGATTAAAATAATAATCATTTATATTATTTTTCTCATATCTATTATTATTACTAATACTATTACTATTAATCAATTTTATTTTACTTAAAAAAAATTATTTACAAATTAAATTTTAAAAATATTTTTGAATTTTACATTCAATTAGTAATTATGTATTATTATTATTGCCATTATATGTAAATTGTTTACACGTTTATATATTTTTAGCATATATTTTATTATACACTATTAAAATATATAATTATTTTAGTTTTGCACAATAATTGTATACTATTTAAAAACTATTTATTAAATAATTATATGTTACTACTATATGTAAATTTTCTAACTTAAAAATAAATTATTGACAGTATAATAGGCATATATAATGTATAAACAATTAAATTTTTTGATTATTGGCAAAATTGATTGTTTACAAGATATAAATAAAATACAAGTGTTTATATATATATATATATATATATATAATTTTAATCAATCAATGATCAACAAAAAAACTAAAATAAAATATATTAGCATAAACTTTCTATTCATAACAATTTTTAATTGACATTTATTTGATGGGTTTGACTTTTTTTATAAAAAATATATTGAAAACACGTGTGTGTGTTATGTGTGTAAATTATATATATATGATATGATATGACATAATACCTGAAAAAAATTATGGACAGCAAACATACAAACAACAACAAAAAATATGCCGCAAAGTAATATATAATTTAAATTTTAAATTTTTTAGCTAATTTACATATTTTTTGTTGTGGTAAATATAATAGCAACTATATATAAACTGTATGTATATATATAATAAGTTTTATATTTATAAGTTTTAATATTATATTTATATACAAGTATTTTTTTAGTTACTTATGTGATAAGCATAGGAAATGAGACGATTAAAAAATTTGTATTTCATTATTATTAATAAAAAGTATTTTATTATTTATGTATAATAATAATCTGTTATTTTATTGTTGTTGAAACACATATAAAATTATAATTATTTGCATAATTTTAAATATATATATAATACTATCTTCCGGATGCTTATTGTATTTATGAAAAATATTTTTATTTAACTATTTTTTAACAAAAAAAAAATCAATCATACAATTGTTTACTACGTGCTTAAAAAACTTTTTTTTATATATAATATTATTAAATCAGTGAAATTATTTGATAAGTTATTTTAATATTATAATTATTTTTTTTTTGATTTATTTTTTTAATACAAAAATTATTTTATATGAAAACTATTATATTTTGTTTTCTAAGTTAAAAATTTCAAAAAAAAATTTTTATATCATAATTGGGCATTGATAAATTGTCTATACAAATTATAAACTATAGTATAATTAACATATTTTTATATAAAAAAAATATTTTTTATTATATAATAATACATGTAACAAAATATTAAATAACAATTTTCAATGCAAACAAAAATCTTTCTAATATATTGGCTTTAATCACATATTTAAGTATTATTATTAAGATATTATTTTTTTTAGAGTATTAAAATACTATAATATATTATATGATACCTGTATTTATAATCAACACTTAATACTATGATATATTATAGACAGTATAAAATGTAATTTGTTTGTAAACATATTGCACATAATGTATAATTATTATTTAACAATTTTCGTAACAATAACAACAATTTTATTTTTTTTGGATAGTTTTTATCTAACATTTTTAGTATTATATATATATATATATTTAAAAAAAGCAATATTTTATGTATAATATACGGTCATTAACTGTCATAAGTCGGGTATTAACTATAATTTTCACTGCAAATCATATACAGTACTACACTGTAGTATATTATATAATAATAATAATGCATTAAAAGTTATATAATTTTTATGTTGTTTATAATACCATTATATATATAGTATTATTTTATATTACATT